TGACTGTGGTACTACAAAGTTGTGCTCTCCCCCCCCTAGTACTATATTGCTTTGGTTCCCCAACCTTGACAAAAATTCAGCAAATATTCTGACACTTTTTCGGAGCAATTTTAAAAACCCAGATTTGTTTCAGTTGTTTTACTCGTCTTCAACATTCAGCATACCCAAACTCGTAATTCATCCGGGCCTAATGTTCTTTTGGTCCCAGCCCCGGGTGAATCTTACGATTTTGTTTGGTGATTTGCAGTCTATCTTTCTTTTTTTTTGTCAAGGCAGAGTACCATGAAGGCAAGCGTAATCCATATGGCATTTATTAAGGGCTAGACATGGGGTCCTGCGGCCTCAGTGGGAGACCTGGCTTGTTTTAAACAGGAACTTCATCCTGGCATTCGTTTTTTTTTTATACACTGTTCCCTATCAATTCCCTACATGCATGAGTCAAAGGGATTCCCAGATATTTTACTATGAAACCAAAGTGATGGACCCCCATTACACTGAACAAAAAAATTATTTCCCCTTCACAGTTTATTTTTCTCCCAAAGAAAATGGCTTCATTTTCCCTTTTAGGGTAATGATTTTTGTTGTCAAACCTTTTCAAACAGGACTCCAGTTCCAGTTTTTAAAAACATTAGCAATTCTGTGGGATTTTTCCTGTACTTACAGAGCCTGTATCTGATACAGGATTTTTGCCTTTGACACTATGGGATATCATTGACATAAATAAAATAATAAGGGGACCCAGAATACTACCTTGGGGGAACCCACATGATATGGGCAGAAGTTCTGACCGTTTTGTTTTTTTTGACTATTTGTCCCTGTTCAAAGGTAGGATTTAAAACCCAGCTACAAAAACCTTTAAACCGTAGTTTGAAGTTTCTTACAAATATTTTTGGGGTTGACAGTATCGAAGGTTTTTTTGCAGGTCAAGGACCATACCTATGGGGGGTTCCCCCTTTGAATTTCGTTCTCATTAATTCACAATTAAAAAGGGGAGGTGTCGGTGAGTAGGATCTTCTAAACCCCGATTGATACTATAGAGAATGCTATTTTCATTAAGGTAAAACTACTTAAAAATACACGCCCTCTCCAAATTTTAGATATTATACGATATAAACAGGCCAAGTTGTTTCCAGACCTATTATTTTTCTTAAAGATAGGAGAACTCTGGCCCCTTGAACCCCCCGGTAGGGTTTTAGTGGAATGAAAATTTTTCCTTATGGAGCAATGGGGGATTGAAGTTCAGAAGACCATTTTTTAGGATTAGACAGGGTTATCGGGGCCTGTGCTTTTATTTGGGGTTTTAACCTGCTTAGTTTTTTTGAAATGAAGCGAGTACACTTACATTTAAACTTTTTGGGGGTTTTCCCCTTTTTGGGGAAAGTATTTTTTAAAATTTTTGATCTGTGAAAGGATTTGATGAAGCGGGTGTTTACTTACGGGTTTTTGATGCAACAGAGTGTAGTATGAATTTAAAGCAATTTGCCCCCCAGTTGTTTTGTGGCATACCTCAATTTCGTAGTGATACTATGTTGACCATTACGGTTAGGGCTATACCCCAACTGTTTTATGTTGCAAGATTTCGGGGGTTTATGTTTATTCTCTTAAATTTTTTGGGCAATATGCTTTCCCTTTGCTCCTTTTATAAGTCTCTGAAAACTCGTTCCTCTCCTTTGGAATTCTTTTAGTGCTGCAATACCTGTTGTTTTTTTTTAAAATTTTTTCAGCAGCTGGTCTCTGAATTTATATTATCAATATCTCAGAGTCCCTCCAGGGTTCGGTTCTTCGTTAATCCCAACTTTTAACTGGTCAATTTCAAGGTGGTTTGAACAAATTTTTAAAAAATTTCCCCGGGATCGTTTAGTCCCTGCAACTTTTTATCTTCTGCCAGTCACAATTGTGTAGCCTATTTACCCGGGTTTTTTTTTTCTTAGTTTCAGTTGACCTCATTTTTATTTTTCCTGGTATCCTATCCTATCCCTAGGATTTTCTTGGTGCAGCAAAGTAAAGATCACTAAGACCTGTGGGAATTACGCTTGACTGACTAATGTTCTCAGCGGTTAAAAGTGTGGGCAAATTTGGGTTAGAAATGTGTGATCCGGGTTGGTGTATTAAATTTTTTGGTGGGGAAATATTTAACCTAAATTTGCTTATACCTTTGCATAGCCCGTTTTTGTGCTGCGAAAAAAGATATTGAAGTCGCCCAGTATTTTCTCGCAATTTTTTTCAACTCCGACAAGACTCTGGGAAAAAACTTTTAAGAACTGGTCCTGGTAGGAGGGCGGGAATTTCTTACTAAAAATGGGTTTGGGCTTGGGAAGCAGCACTTCAAACCATAATCTCCGTTTATGTTATTTAAATCAGGGCTTGGGGTTTTAAGCTAATCATTTTTTAAGTAACACATCTCCATCACCCTTTTTGTTCCTATCTAAGCATTTTTATTGTAACTATCTATTTTGACCTGCGTCATCACCATATCATCCAAAAAAGGATTCAAATGGATATAACGCCGCCCTATTTTGTTACTAAATCCCAATCCGCCAGTTTAGGAAGAAGTGATCTTGCGTTTACTAAAAAAAAGTGAAGGGCCTGTTTTTTTATAAAACAAACATATACAAAATTGGCAATGGGGCATTTGATTAAAAAATTTGTAAATCAATGTCATCACTGTAAAGGGTAACGGCCAAAGTGCATTTGTTCAAACAAAAAGAATTCTGGCACCGTTTCTAAATTTTCTTCACCATCAGCACCCACCCCTTGCACATTTTACATAAGGGCCTTTTTTTTTTTCATGCGTATTTGTACAGCGTATGCACCTGTTTGGTATGTTTGAGAAATAATGGTGTTTTCTCACATTGACCTTGTAGCATTTCATATGGAGTTAAGGTTATCATTTCCAGCTACTAACCGCATTATCACCGTCATTTATCTGTCGTTTTTCCTTGCCAATATTTGGGGCCTGGGTTTAAATTTTTATACACCACTTAAAAAGCGCTACAATAAAGCTGTTGCCACTGTTTTTGTTTGGGTTGCGGGTTGGGCCATACCTTTCGGGGATAGTGAGATTTCTTTTTTGGTAGGTGGCAACTGTTGGGTTTTTTCTGTCCAGGGGGGGTGTTACTCCCTTACCTTTTCCAGCCCCCATGACTGAGATTTTTTTTCTTCATGGGTTGAAGAAAAAGAAAAATATAATTATGGCACCTGCCCCCCCAATGCCTGCCATTTTTTACTCTTCGCTCTTTTAAAATTTTTAAAAATAATATTTATTTCTCTTTTCCAGTCCCCATTTCACTTTGTATCGCTTTTTCAATCACCACTGAATTTCTAGTAAAATTTTCCCCTTCAAAACCCCCTTTACTGCTCCTTTTCCTTTAACTTCACAAACCCCTTACAGTTAACCCTTATTCACATCCCCCCCCACCCCTTTACACGGCTTCCCAATTAACTTCTAAACCCTTTTCCCTTCTGGTGACCAAAAGGTTTTAAACATGGTTTTATCCTTTCCCTCCCCCTCAATTCCATTTTTGGGGGGTTTTGTCGTGTTGTTTTTCTCCTGCCGTTCTCTGATCAGCCCTTTTTTAAAAAACTGAGGGAGTACGCCATCAACCTGACTTTCCCTTTACTTATAGATATATTTGGCTTTTTTTGCTTGATTCTCTCACAAAAAAACTATCAGCTGAAAAGGTCAGCACTAAACATTAACCCTTTACTATTTAACTTTCACTCTTTCCCACGGGACGAGGGTAAACCCCTCCTATAACCTTGGGTTTTGTACGTTGATTGACGATGTCTCCCCGTGTTTCCCCCTCGTTACACTGGTACAGGTGATATGATGGAGGTACAGATATAGCAAATGTCAACAGATGAACGTCATAAGATGAGAATTTAACTTCGATTTTACTCTGGCATAGCGTGTTGGTGCCCGGTCAGCCATGTTTAAAGCTCAATTTTTTCCCCCGTTTGGCACGAAAAAAATTCCCACAGACCTGTCATTTTCCCTTTGGGGTTTAGTTTATCAGGTTTTTTGCAATTTGTCTTCCCGTTGAACACTGGGGGGGTTGTTTTGGAGGTCAGTTTTTCTTGTATGGAAAAAGTCCATGTTGGGTTTAGCTGGGACAGTTGGGGCTTTAATGCCGGAAGAGAGGGTCTTATTAGGCATGGAGTGTAGCGGGAGATTATTATTAAATTTTGCGGGGAGCTAAAAACCCGTAGGATTTTACGGCACAGTGGGGTGGGGGGTGGAATTTATTCAGGCTTTCAGTGGAAATGTCAGGGCTAGATGGGACAAAATCAATTATGCAATACTTTTGTTTGAAAGGTTTGCATACTTTCGTGTTCACCAACTGTCTAGAAGTTTTTTCCTTTCGTATTTGGAAACACTCACAGTTTCAAAAGTTTCAGGGCTTGTCCACTTTTTTTTTTCTTCGACGATTTCGTTGAAATTTTTACCCCGACCTGGGATGTTAAATTTATATAGTTAAAGTTGCATCAAATTGACCAGTAAAACAACTATATATAAGGAACGTGAACAGTTGACGCAACAATTTTAGCAATGATGGGCAATATTGGCAATCTCGAAAATGTTTTTGATAATCATAAATGATAAAGCAATTACAAATTGATTTTCTGGTGAAAGGAAGTAATGTAATATGTTTTATGGTACAAAGAAAGACGTCTTCCCATTTTTTTTTTTTTTGTAGATGAATGAAGCCAGTGTGTGGCGAAACGTTTCCTCAATAAAGATACCCAAGTGTTGCACATGTGTCTAATTTATCATAATTTTTTTTGCACTGTACACCCATGGTATGAGAAAAATGGAAGGAATTATTTCCCCCTTTGGTTATTTACCAAAAGTCAAACAATGTCCCTGAATAAACTGTACAAAACTCATAATGATCAGTTCATAAATAATGGTACATTATCATTAGATATGCCAAAAAATGTATTTTCTAGATTAAGAAATGCATTGAGCCTTAATATAGAGTGGGTAAAAATACTCCTGGTGCATTTATACGTTTATTGAGAGTAGAACTGGTTGTATGGACAATATTCCTGAAGTTCCATGAAGATCCCTTCATCCTGAAGTTCTCTGGCAGCCGGCCAATCATGACGATCCATCCCAATCAAACTGAAAAGAAAGAAATAAATGCTCAAAATCCTATTCCCAGATATTATGTTCACTGATACATGTAACTGCACACATATATATTTATATGCAAAAAAGTATATAAATACACCAAAAATTCACATGAATTACGTACCTTTGACTAGGAGTAGGTGGACATAGATGATTATTTAATGTCCTCCAGGCTCGTAGGACGTGTCCGTCCCCCTTTTCCTCTTCTTGTATTTTGGGGTCCGTGCTGCCTGCATGTTCTTGTCCATTGATTCAAGCTATCTTTGAGTCAATGCTAAACGTCCATAGCCAAGTGGTATGTCTAGACAGCTCCTTACATATCCACTATTGTACTCTGCAACAGCATGGCTGACAGAGAAATCAGCTTGCCACTTGGTTCGAAATAGTGCTTTACTGCAGTAGACCATATGCGCTGATGCAGACTTTAATTAGGGTTTTGAGTTCTGCCTTTTAGACAACGCTGCATCATTTCATCTCTTGTTAGGTCTTGGTAAATATTATATACCTCTTCCATGTATGCAGGATCGAACTGGAACTGTACTTTCATTGTAGTGTGAGATGGTGGTGGGAGGTTTGCTGCTATTGCTTTCTGGTAGAAACACCAGGAATCATCACATGTTGGGCAAAGGTGATGCTGTGGCTTCTCGTCACTTGAGGAACAATGGAAGAAGCTTGCAAGGATACCATTCCTCATGCTTGCAACATCAGTCCCAACATTCTCTCTCAGGTTCTTCTGAAAGTAATATGCCAACTTTTCGATGATGAAGTCTGTCAGAACGCCTTTTTTCTTCATGGCATACTGCTTCCTCTTCTTGCCAGTTTTTCAATTCTTTTTCAACATAATGTGACTGGACAACATTTGTTAGTCTATTCTTGAGACGTTTAACATAGTGATTGATACATTCCTCTTTGTCAACTTTTACACCTGGATATGGACCTTCACCATCCTTGAGATCAACAATGGCTTTATATGTGTTTATTACGATAAACTTTATAAACCCTAGATGTTGTCAGTCTAGGGGACTTTTCAAGGAGAATTGTTCTCTAGTTCTATCGTAATAAGGTTGTAGGGAGATCGAAAAACTTTTTAAAATGTATCTTTAATATAGAATAGATATTGTTATAGACAGTATTTTGTTGTACCTTATTCTAAATAATATATAAAGACTTTATATACCACTTAAATATGAAGACCTTCAATTTTGGCTGAATAAACCTTTCATATACAGTTGAACAAAAGTTACATTATCTTCCATCTTATACAGAAGTTCTCGTCTCTACAGACGAGAACTTCTGTATAAGGAAAATTTCACAATTTCTGGTGACTTAAGCGAGTAAAACTAGTGCAAAAGCTTCACTGCTTAGGTTAAGGTGAGTAAGCTGTGGAGATCTTCTCAATACAGAGAGAGGTGCTGTCCTGCTTAATCTACCCCACTCACACCTGACGTTAGCTCGCTTCAGGCGAGTGGTGTAGACGTCAGGACAAACAAGTTGGTCGTTACCCATTTCCTCATCAGATTAAATATATACATATTCGCTGCCTGACCACGGTAGAGTGCGGTTGTGCTCTGCACCCCTCTGCTGTTTGTAGGCGAGCTCCCTTGTCAGTTACCTGGCTGCAGCGGTGTGAAGTGGTGCTGTCACGCCTCTGTTAACAACATAGGTGCACTGCGAGTGTCAAGATGGCGGTGAGACGCAGGATAAATACTGTAGGCATTGAGCTACTTCAAGGAACGATAACGCCTAGTTCTGCGCAAGTCTTGTTGCCAAAGATCATCCGGGAGACATATGGCATACAAGATAGTGACTAGTATGGTGTAGCATTAATCGGAAGTGAAAGAATATTCGTGAAACTGCTATCAGCTACGGTTTATGAATCGTTAGTCACCAGGTTTCAGGATGTAAGTCTTAGCGTCACACCAGCTGTCAGTGAAGATGATAGATGTTTCACGGCATTATACGTGGATCATGTTTCGCAACCGTTCCCTTTGAGGCGGACGAGGCGGTTTATAAGGAAAGTTTTTGAGACATATGGGACGGTGCATTATGCTCAACATGGTACGTGGGCGGCAGGTGCCTTATGTGGTTATCCAGGGGTTCTTTCAACCTCAAAATGGACGTTGAGGCATCAATACCGTCATATGGTATCTACAAGGATTTCAGGACGCAAGGGGTTAATGGTAAGTACCCAGAAAACGACGTACATGCCGCCTTGTGGTGAGTATGATCACATAGTGGCGATCCTGTGACAAGCGAAGACGTTGTAACCTGGACCTTTGGTGGGATGTCGCAGTCCCTTGCTTCAAAGGTGCAGGTGAAAACAAACATCGGAAGGAGGGCGTGGTGAGTTTTGTGGAGCGAGATAGTGGGATCGGGCACCCAAGGACTGGCGGCGAGTTGGAGTCCCTCCCCCAGCTGCCTGATCAGTATCGGCTCCTGTGGATAAGGTGGAAGCAGGCAATTACAGGAGAAGGTTATCGAAGATTGAGGAAGAATTGGTGGAGGTGGTTGAAGACTTTTCACCACCAGAGAGAGACGTTACATCTGGGCGTGGTGTCATCGGAGAGCCGTCGCTTCCAGAAAGTCGGGAGCGGGACATGATAATTTGAGGGACGTGATGGTGGTTTGGAGTCGTCCGTTGAATCATTAAACCATTCTCAGGTAGAGGTGGCAGGGTTCAACTCTCGAGAGGCAAACATCTGATCAAGATTTGTGTAAACATGATGGTCACGAGAAATAGGGCGGCTACGTCAGATTCTGATGACGTCCATAGCCTGCACAAATGCCTGGGAAACAGACTGAGGTGAGTGTGAAGGTAGTGGTGTAGGTGGTGGTGGCCATGATTAGGAGGCACGGAAGAAGGGGGGAGGGAAAGAGTGCACTCTGAAGGTGTCAAACTAAATTCAAGCTCTGGAGTGTAAAGAGTGTAGAGGAGCAGGGGTAGGAAACTTTTAATAGGCCTTGAGGTGTATGTCTGTAAATTGTAATGGGTTATGTGCGGTTTGAAGAGAGTTGGTTTCCTAAGTTCCTGAACAAATCTAGAGTGGATGTTGTGTTCCTGCAGGAGCACAATTTTAAGAGGGTATTGGTAGGTTAGGTGTTGGAGGTGGCTGGATTTCGAGTAGTTACCCTGCCATCTCCTAGCCTAAAAGGTGGTGTGGAATTTTTAATAAGGGAGACAAGCCCGTTTGTTTGCAGGAAGCGGGGAGAGGGGGAGGAGAGGGTGTTGCAGGTAGATGGGTGGTGTGTGGGTAAGCCCTTGTTGTGTCTTTTATGACTAGTGTGTATGCGCCGGGCAGGAAAAATAACTAAAGGTAAAAGAATGATTTGGGTTGTGTGAGGTTCTTGAGTTTTCCTTAAGTCACTCCTGAGGTAGCAAATTGTTGGTGGAGATTGGAATAGTGTAATCAAGGTGGTGATGTGGACCAAAAGGGGGCTGGTGGCTGGATATATGTCGTGGCTCTTAGGGTTGTTTAAGGAATGGTAGGTTACGTGATGGCTTCGGGGGGGCGTGTGAGGAGACTGAATTATACGTTTGTTAGGAGTGGATATGTGCGAGATGATAGAGTGTACCTTTCTCAGGGAGTGGTATGTGAGACTCTTTCAGTACTGTGGAGGCTTACAATGTCAGATCATTGGGCAGTGGTGGTGGAGGTTGGGTGGGGGCTGCTCGACGAATATATAAAAGTTATTGGAAATTAAATATAAGTGTATTTAGGTTGATGAGGACGGGTTGGAGGGGTTTTCAGTCCTATGGAGGGAGCTTAAGATGTGGGAAGAACAGGGAGTGGCATGACATTGTGACCATGGTGGGTTAGTGTTGCAAAGGAAAGGAATTAGAAGTTTTATGTGAGAGATGGAATACGTATTAATAATTTTAAAATATGGACTGGCTAAACTATTGTAGAGGTAGGTTTTAAGAGGTTGCTTATGCGGGGGGTAGGTGGGAATAAATTTTCCTATGCTGGAATAGCAGAAATATAGGGGAGGTTGAGGGTGTTGCAAAATGAAAGGTTTCAAGCGTAGGGTGAGGCAGGAGGGGAGGAAGTGACTTTGGGGCGACAAGCCGTCAGCGTGTTGTTTTGCGGCATCAAAAGCAAAGGAGGCGGTGACAGCTATCCCATGGTAGAGGATAACGGAGATGGTTGGGATTTATAGAGCTGGGCAGGAGATCCGATCCACGAAAGGGGATGTGTGCGTATGCGGAGGCTTGAGGCTGGTACGAGAAGTACTGGAACAGTGGGGGGGGGGGTGACGTGGCGTTGGACAGGTGTTGTGTAAGTATGTGACGTGTAATTTAGGATTAGTGATAGAAAGGCTTTAGGTGGGGACTATTACGGCAGAGGAAGGGGGAAATAGGAGAATGCGTTAAGGGGAATGAGGAAGGGGAAAAAGCGCAGGGGTATGACGGTCTCCCCAGTAGAATTTTATTTACAAAATTTGCGTTAATAAGGGGATTTATAGTTAGGTTATTTAATCTTAGGAAGGAGAAGGGGTACGTTGGGGAGAAAGCACAGGTAACAGCAGTTGTCGTGTTGGTCCGAAGGTCAAGGGGGCAGCCCAACCTTCGGAGAGTACCGAGCCCATATCACTGCTGTGTGAGACTATAAGGTGTTCGGCAAAAATTTTAGGTAAATAGGTTCAAATGTGTTGTGGGAAGGGTGTGTTCAAAATCTCAGTTTGGGTTGCTGGAATGGTCGGTTGGATTGATGGGACAGGGGATACTGAGAAAAAAAGTTTTGTGGAAGCTAAGGGTGGGGGTTGGTGAAGGGGCAGCTTTAGTTGGGCTCTAGATGGCAGGGTGCATTAGATAGAGTGTGGAAGGGGGAGGGCTTTGCGGTTTATACTTACGAGACAGGGTTTTTGGGGGAGGAATAGTCCGAGGTGGGTAATACGCTAAACAAGGGGCGAAAATGAATGATACAGATTAATGGGTGTGTATGGGATGGATATTGCAATGGGTAGAGGCCTTAGACAGGGATGCCCCATGGTCCCAAATATTGTTGCGTGTTTCCAGGACCCCTTTTTTAGAATGGTTGGACCGCGCTTATGTACACATTGTGAGGGAAGTGTGGGGGGTGGGAGGTATGGCCGGGTTGAATTGGATATGTTGACGACACCACTGTGCCTCATTCGTGAAGGGTTGCCAATGGGAGTGTTGGACGAGGGTTGTGCAATTATTTGGTAGTGCCCAAGGTACTGCAGGGGAAATAGTGCGAAAGACAAGGTGCATGGGGTTGGGTTCTGGGTGGGGGGGAGATGTAATGTTGTTAAGAAATGGGCGATGTCTTGAAGATTTGTGGTATTATTTATAAGGAAGGACATGGTTGCGGAGAGGGAGGAAGGAAAAAACTCGGTTAGGTTATTGGAA